CCAGGGCCCTGTCCAGCCGTAGCCGTGCCGTCTTCACCAGCTCCAACCCTGAACCCAGCCCAGGCATTCGACGGTTCCCGTGCTGCCAGGTGCTGTGTCGGCCCGTTCCCAGTGGGAGGGGTTCACGTTCAACTCAACTCGACCACCCCGCGAACTGTCAGTTGTCAATCCAATCTTGTGAAAGTCACCTTTCCTCAGCGTCCACCCAGCGTCGTCACCCGCACACCACCACGACCACCAGGCCACATTGCCAACGCTTCCCTGCTTGCGATACCTCTTTCGACAGCCGCCGTGGCCGCGCCGCAGTGATCCGGACCCAAGTCCCTGTCCTCACCACAATGGTCATACGAAACATCCAGAAAATGCCGTCCGCCATGGCCTGAATGACCCAGTCTGTGGAATGGACTCACGGAGCGCGTGATAGGGCTTTTTGCCGCTGTCCCCGCGCCTGTCGCTCCGCGTTTGTTTGTCTGGCCGGCCGGTGGGCTGCTGCGTCGTTTCTTCCCTGTCCGCCCGGGATGCCACGGATGCTGCTGCATGCAACGAAGAGAGGGGTAGCTAGCTGCTGAGACGAGACCCGAGAGGGGAAGACGATGACCAACAACGACAACAAACGAAGCGACGGGTGCGCATGCTATTGGCAGCTTTCGGAGACCTTCCTCCAGAAAAGCCCTCTGCCCTAGATATGCCCGCCCTCGAGCATGAGGTGCTGTGCGACGGCGGAGCCCTTCCCCCTCGTCCTGTGTCCCGTGGAGTTCATTACCTACCCAGGCCGCAGTTTGCAGAAAGGCCACATTTGAGATACTCGCACTGCAGCAGTCGTGGTGGCATACTCTTGACGGGCGGGCTGAGGAGTTATTTCGTCAGCTCGTCATACCCGGCGAAAGGTGGCTTCGTACAGTGGCTTACTCAAACCAACGCGCCTCAGCTTCGGGACGAGGCGCCATTCCCGACCGATCCGACCACGACGATGCCACTCGTTAAAAAGGGAAGCTGGTATGGTATGGTACAGATGCGGCGGGCAAATCCATCAACCTGGGCGCACCCCGTAACCGTAACTGCGGCGGGCACAACGTGCGCTCCACGCCGAGCGACGCTTGTTCTGCACGCAAGAGAACCCACATGGAAAAACGGCCAAGATACTCTTCCCCCTCCATCCCCCCGATTCGGGCCAATCAACGGCTTGCGGATGCACCTCGTCAAGGGAGGGGCGTGGAGGAGCAAAGTACCTCGTCATGTACCTCGCTCACGACGGGGACGAATGGACGAGAGAAACATAAACCACACCCCGCTATTCAGTTCGCTGTGCTGACCTTGCTTACCCCGCCATGCATATCCGCTGCCCTCATAACTCGCCGGTTCTTCAGCACAGTGCGTTGAGTCTGCTCACCGGCCGCATCCGCATGCCAGCTTCGGGGTCGGTAAACTAGGTGCTTACTGGTTCGGACTCTGCGCGTCGCTCGCTGCCTTCTTGGCCGGCTGAGCATGTGGAATCCCCGCCACCGGGGGCTATATGCGATGTTGATCTCTGCAGCAGTGTTCCCTCCGGGTCACGGGTCTCTGCTCGGCGACCCGAAAAGGGTCAACATCAGAATCTTGACACTCGGCGTATTGCTATTCAGGCCAATCTGGGGGTGTTCATGGAAAACGGCATAGTGTCGGAGAACCAAACTAGAAAGATGTCGTGCTGGTATTATCTTTAGATCGCGACTACAGACGCCAGCCTCCGCCAGGATAGACGCAACGCGCAGGCTAAAATAGCCGCCTCGCCGGTCCTCAAACCGCTGGAGTCACCGGCGCGTCACCGGCGCCGATTCCCAGCCTCCGCCGACCTCGCCGCTCCAAAATAAGCCTGCCAACGCAGCCATTGACGAATGAAGCCAGCCGCTTACTTTCTCACTTCCACACGCTCGAACTCTCCGCGCCGGCCTTCTTGCCCTCCTGGTACGTGTCACTCAACGCGTTATACAGCCCCTTGACACGCTCCACCTCGCCCGTCCAGTGCGCCCTCTCTCCTTCGTCGGGCAGCTCGCGCACTAGGTCCGCCACGCTCCGCGCCGTGAAGAACTTGTTGGTGCGGTTGTACAGCTCCCGCCGCGCGAGCGCCTCGTCGCCCTCCCCCTCGGCCCGCACGCGGAACACCTCCTGCAGGATGTTGATGTCGTGCGGGATCGCGAATAGGTCGCGGCTGTCCTCGTAGGTGAAGAGGTAGTACACTTCGCGGAAGCCGGACCAGGTGATGCCGCTGAGGCAGAGGGAGCAGGGCTCGTGGGTCGCGAAGAAGAGGCAGTCGGTCCGCGGCGACGGGCGCGTGGCCGGGTCCGGGTGCGTTGTCGTGAAGAACTGCTGGATGCAGTTGATCTCGCCGTGCAGCAGCGGGGAGGTGCGCTCGTCGTTGGTCGCGACGGTGTAGGGCTCGAGGGTTTGCGAGGAGACGATGGCGGCGCCGAAGAGTTTGCTGCCGGACGAGACGCCGCGTTGTGTTAGGGGCACGATGCGCGATTCGGTGAGGGTTAGGAGGGCGGAGAGGAGGGTCTTGGGATCGCGTTGGGGGAGAGGTTCGTCGGCCATGATGCGAGGTGTTCGCTGGTTTGAAGCTAGGTAGTTAGGGTGGACGAGATGTGTTGGCACCTAGTGCTGTTTGTAAAGGTTAATTCAGTTGAGGCAGTTCTTCTTGGCCTGGAAACCCCTTGGGCGGGGAAATCGTGAGGTGGATTGGCCGGTGGTTTTTATCGCCGTGATGCTTATCACGGCGAAGAAGTGGCGCCGACCTCCTGCTATCGGAGGCGTCCGTAGCGCGGGCTGTTCTCCATTGCGTCCGGTCGCGGCGACCTCCGGTTTGAGGTACTTCCAGACCGGCAGCGGTGGACCTGAGAGATCACTGGATCAGCCTCATCGTTGCGCTGCTGCGGCACAGGTTCACGACGTGTGAAGAAGTTGTCGAGGGAGGAAAGATGGTGTTGAGAATCCTAAGGCCGCTGAGATGAGCTCACAGGTGATTTTGTGGGACTTTGATAGTCCCGGGTGCATGACTAAGCCGGCCCCGAGTTTTCCACTGTGTTTTCACTGTATCATCAACAAATCTGAGTGTCTTCATGCACCACGCCCAGAGCGGGAACACGAAAAATTGACTGAACAGGCCCAATGCATTACATACGGCTCCTCCGAGCCCCGAAGCTCACCTTTCAGGAGGGGAAGAAGAACCCCTGGTCTCTGAACCTGGTGCTCACTGTCACCACCGATCTAGGCGACTCGTTCCTCGCTCACGATGAGCCAGTGAAGATTAAGGTGGCCCTCGGCTGGGAGAACCCTCGCAGTGCTAAGCAGAAACCGGCCCCGATGACTCTTGCGGGAGAGAAGACGCTGCAGTGGACATCTGGCATGCGGGTTCTGAAGGCAGACTTCCCGGCTCAGCACCTGAAGCCTGAACGGAACCTTCCTTCCGGCGAGACTCCCTTGAGGGTCTATATCGCTGCTGGATCCGGGCTGTCTGCGGAGACTGCGGAGGATGTCGCGATGGCTGGGTTCAACGGCGAGGATGGGAAGATTGTGCCCCTCTGGGCGAATGTGGACATCCCGATCCACGGCTACAAAGCATATGGGGATTCTCCCGGTGCGCCGACGACCTGTTTCCGACGCCTGCGGCTCGGGAGTGAGCACCATCCGTACATCGAGGTAGAGGAGGATATTGGCGAGAGCATTGCGCGACACGTCTGGGATGCTGGCATGATGGTCGTCTCGAGACTGTGGTTACTCTGCAACGGCGACTCTGGCACGGCTGCAGGCCATCCTTTGGGCATGAGGACCCTCAAGTCTCTCCTGTTCGGCAACAAACCCGTCAATATCCTCGAGCTTGGGTGTGGCGTCGGGATCTTTGGTCTCGGACTTGCTCATATTCTGGGCCGGGAGACTATGTCGAGAAAGGGTCGACTTGTGATCACGGACCTCTCCGAAGCCGAGGAACGAGTTCTTTCCAACATTGAATTGTCGAGAAGCAGTCACACCGAGCCGCAGTTCGAAGAGCTTGACTGGGATGAAGGTCGGGACGGCTCGTTCGGGCCACTTGTCGAAGGCACGCTATGGGATCTGATCGTCTTGAGCGACTGCACCTACAACGCTGATGCGCTGCCTTCTCTGATTGACACTTGGTCAGCTATTCACAAGCAGAACAATGCAATGGCCGAAGATAAACCAGTTGTCACTCGAGTGCTGGTGGCGATGAAGGTCCGCCACGCTGACGAAGATCGACTGTGGGAGCTGGTCAAGAAGGATGGTTGGGCGGTTACGGAAAAGGCCGCGATGCCACTGCCAATGTTGGGCGGGGAGCCACAGGAGATCTTCTTGTATCTCTTTGAGAACAGGATACGGGTGCTTCCCGATGGCTACGCCTAGACAACTTGCGGGCAGTCGGTTATCGGCGTTCGGGCACGGGTTGGGCAGTCGCCTAAATCTGACACGTCCGCGTCTGCCCAACGTTCCTCTCCCCCGCGCGCGCCAGTTGGCGCTTGACAAGACGACTGGGTTGACGCGACTGTCGACAGTCGTGTGCCCATTGCTACCCGATAAGATGTCCCGTCCTGCCACAACTGCTATTTTCAGTGACTCTTACATGTTCCGATGCGCCGTCTTCTCCAACCGTTCCCGGTCGCGCCCCGCACCAGACAGACGTGCAGCCCGGATGTAGCGCGACCATGCCCGAGGAGGCGAACCGAACCCGTTCTCGACTGGACGGAAAACCCAACGAGGCGAGCTCGACGAATGAGCCGCCACCACATGCGAACAACACACCATCCGCTCAGTCGGCCTCCGACATTGGCAAATCATGAGATGTGACCCGGGCCAACATACGTTCGAGGCTGCCAATGAAATGAGTCTTCAGCGACGGCGTTGGGCTCGGTTCTGCTGTGAAGTCCAGGGCATATAATGTCCTCTCTTGGAACTCTGTGTGGTCAAAGGAAGACTGTTCTGGTCACGCACCTTTCCCCAACCCTCTCGCAAAGATGGCAGCAGAATCCAAGACCAAGCCCGCCACCAACGGCATGACCAACGGCAATGGCAAAGGGGCCTTCAAGGGCTCGAAGCTCTTGGAAGCAATCCGTAACATGGTCTCCTCCGCAAACAACATGGAGAGGGAACTCGGCGGCCTTCCCGATCTCGAGAAGCTCATGGAGAGCGAAAAGAGGTTACGGTTGGAAGTCGAGGAGAAGAACGAAGAGATCGACGCCGTCAAGAAGGACAGGGACGACGCTTTGGCTGCCAAGGACCAGGAGGTGGAGCTCACCAAGAAAGAGGCCGACGAGAAGGTCCGACTGATCCAGGAAGAGGCAGACACCAAGGTCAGACTCATCCAGGAAGAGACCGACACCAAAGTCAGCCAGCTCAAGGCCGAGCTCGACACCGAAAAGGAGGCCCGCCGTGTGCTCATCGAAGGCTTCGAGGAGAGGGTCGGCGTCCACAACCAGACAAAGGCCGAGAGCACCGCCGTCAGCCAGAAGCTCGCAGATGCACAGCAAGATCTTCAGAACAAGGAGGAAGAGGCCGAAGCAGCGAGGCAGAGGGTCGCGGAGCTGCAGCAGCTGTCAGAAAAGTCGTCGACTCAGATCGAGTCCCTGACGGACGAGAAGGAGAGGATGGCGAGAGAGAAGACGCTCCTAGCGGCAGATCTTCAGCAGCGGGAAGCGGAACTCACTGTCTTAGACGGCGAACTCCGCCAACTGCACAAGGACGTCGGGGTCAACCTCTTGCACGACTACGAGGATCGGGAGCTTGCCAGATTGCAAGTCAACCACCGTCACGTTCGATGGACAGACAGCTAACAGGCCACAGCCGCCGCGAAATAGACGCATTCGCCGAAGAATCCCGAGGCCTGGTAACTGAGTTCTTCAAAGAACCAGACAACTCACTGGCAAGCCCCCATCCCCCCCACCCCTAGATCCAACCATCACAACACTGACAGATCACCAGAACACCGTCTCCCTCCCCTACCAACTCGACTACCTCAAACGCGTGCCCATCCCCAAGTCCGGCTCGACCCCAGACCTGCGCTGCCTCGTCGCCCAAGCCGTCATCGCAAAGTTCCTCCGCTCGCACATCTTCCAGCCCTTCTTCCTCCCGCAGGACATCCACCACGCCGGCGCCGACGTCCTCGAGTATCTCTCCGAGGACGTCCAGCGCGCCACCATCTTCCGCTGCCAGATCCTCGCCGCCTGCGACCGCAACGACTCCGCCAAGGCCGTCGCCGCCCAGGCGAAAGACGAGGTCTACCGCGAGCTGTGCGCCTTCGTCCCCGCGACCAAGTACCTGCCCCTCCAGCAGCGCCTCACGCGCTTCTTCGAGGCCGGCGTCAAGATGTGGGCCGAGCTGCAGCGCTCCAAGCAGCTCGTCCTCTGCGAGGACCTCGAGGACGAGGACATTGAGGAGATTGACGAGGGCCAGCGGCCGCGGATGTGGGACGAGTACGGCGCGCGGTCGAAGCTGGCGGCGGGCGGCCCCGGGGACGTGTGCGCGACGCTGTTCCCGCAGGTCGTCATGGAGGAGAGCGAGGACACGATCAATGTGATACACCCCGGTGTCGGGCTGTGGTCGGACCAGACGGTTGTGATTGCGGCGTCGCAGGCGATGGCGAAGGGGCAGCAGAACGGAAGGGTGAACGGCGACGCGAGGCCGGGCACCCAGAGGCGGAGGTCAAGTTCGAGTGCGCCGTCTGGGAGGTCGTGAGGTCTGTCGTCGGGCCTCATGTTTGTGCTCATTCCTTTGTACATCTTGTACCATACATGTCTCTATCTGTCTCTATTTAGTAGCCAAGCGGGTCACACACATAGCATTCATTCATATTTCACCACTGTTTACCCAAGCCCCGAAATCCTCCCGTATCAAAAAGAAGGCATGATGACTACGGGCCATTTGACGCCCGGAGCAAAAGATTGCGCCGAGGGGGAATCGAACCCCCGGCTCCCCGACGCTGCTGGATGGCAACGGAGAATTTTACCACTAAACCATCGGCGCTTGACAGTTGTTGGTGAACTGGGATGCCAGGAGCCATGGCGAGAACGCTCATGTTGCGTTGCGTGGGTTGTGGTGGATGCAGGAGGGTTTCTGGACCCTGATCTGCATGGGGTCGATGCAGGGGTATCGGGGATAGAGCAAGCTCAGCCCCCGAGCGGAATCCGCCTAGGTATTAAGTGATACAGGCACATTCAAGAGTAGTAGGATTTGTTTGATACAGACTTTGAATTGAATGGATTAAAGGCAGTTTGTATTCTGCGGCTCTTCAATCCCACTGCAGTCCGAACGAGAAAGCGGGCCCGCGCCCGTTCGGAGCCGGAGCTGTGGGGCAGACTCCGTTTCCCAGGGATATTTCGGAGCTCTCCACGGAAATTCGTCGGAAGTCTTTCTAATATTTTGACTTCCCCGTAGATCCAGTCTCGATCATTTCATGAAATCGCCTGGGTGATCAGTGACTGGAACTTCCGCATGAGACGTTACTACGAAGATTGACGTATTGCGAGCAGCCGCAAGAGCTACGGCCGCCTGCCTTGGCGTCTTGACTCAATCTTCATCTCCGAGTGTTATGCCGTTAGTCACTATTGTAGTAGCTCACGGGGGAGCAAAGGCCGTCATCAACTACCTCACCCCGAAGAACTAACACAGCGCAGACGACTGCGTTGCAGCTAACGGCGATGTGTTAATAAAGTCGCGTACAAACCTTCGGCACTCAATCACTGTTCGGTATCTTCAAATCATTGCGCCAGAAACCACCTGGAAGCTGTCTGTCGCGTAATCGGTCAAAGATACAGGAATTTGTCAATGCTTCTGTTCAGACAACACTGCTTCACCTCCCCGCCCGGCTTCTTGAAATGGCTTCCCTGAATTCCAACATTGCAGACAAGAACTATACTTGGCCAAGTGATGATGTGCTGGGGTGTAACGAGCGAATGGAGATACATTACCCCGAGAACATGTAAGACACGGTCACTCCATGAGGCTGTCCCATTGAAAGCTGATTCAAGTCATTTTTACGTGCCATCTAGATTGTTAGTAGCCACATCCGGCTAAATCATGGTGTCTTCTAACCGGATTGAGACTACACAGCACGGACTGATCCAGCAGCGTATATCCGAGAACTCTGAGACATGCAAAGGAAAGTATTGCGTCCCTACCTATGAATAACGCTCTCATTTCCAGAGGTCTAAATGATGCGTAATAAGCTTCGATAGACTTGTCCACATTCAATTATGCTCGATTCCAGCCTCCCTTAAGCCTTTTCCTGATCGCATAGTAATCTGCATCATGCATTGTTCTTTGAGGCAAGCAGAACCTTCGTATTTGTAAACGATGGGCGCTGCAAGACCACATATGTGCTGGCTTCAAGCCACGATGTTACGCGAGCTGAAAACACCGAAACATTCAGCTGTAATGAGAAAGATAGGTGCTTCAACATGACTCAACTTTGAAGCTGACATTTGATCGGCTTAGCTGTGCGCGACCGCCTTTTGCACAGAAGCTACGTGTTACCAGCATCTGCGCCCTCATACTTAAAGACGCAAGAGACCCGTGGTAAGCCAGGCCGGTATCTGCAGTATTCTATCAAAACACCACAATACTACTTCCAATACGTCACTTCAATCAATCTATACCACCATGGGTGCAGGACAAATGACCGTTCCCCTCTTCGTCTCCGCTCTGCCGAAGGGGATGACTCTAACTATTGACAAGATCACGGACAACACACCCTCCAACATGTATGCGAGTTTTATGCCGGCCTACCAAATGTCTATTCCCCACACCTTTACGGCACAGGAGGTCCAAGATGCCAAACCCTCGAGCAAAGACAGAGGCGCCAAACTCGGCGACTTTGCGTTTCGCACAAAAGATTTTCTTGGCTGCGGTCAAGGCGCTTCCTTTCTGGTCAAATTCACAATCAAAGGTCGACCGGACGAATACCCCGAAGCCGATGTTCAGGACACCCAAGGCCAACTCACGATCGGTACATCGGATTGGGGAAGGCTTTTTCGTCCCGATCAGACCAACTTCACATGGACCATTGGGAATAAGAGTCAGTCCTACTCCGCTAAAACTCCGACATTGACTTATCTCGACGACTCTTGTCTACTACTGTCATACGTGCCAGATCAGAAGGCGTATGTTTTTGGCGTCACGAACCAGCAAGACTTTATTGTGAAGTTGATGCAAAAGGCTGTGAGCGGCATCGTCGTAGGACACAAGGCTTTGTACAGTGCTGCCGCAGGTACTGTTTGCGCTTTTGGAGGCGTCGCAGTTGCGGTGGTTGCTTTCGGCGCAAATTATGTAGATGGAAATTGAGATAGAGGTATGGGGACTCATCGATCAGGTTTCAACTCTAGGCAGCTGCATCTATCTTCAGAGAGTCTCTTCAAACACTCAGGGGATCACCGAAAGAAGTTCAGCTCATAAAAAACAGCTCTAGACATCATAACCTCTCTATTGCGTGGCTTCGTACATTATTGACACCTACCCGGGCCGTTTGAAAGACGTATGATGCTGCTGGTTTCGTACACGACTTTTGTGATTGTGAACTTCATGATTTGCCTCTGCCTTCACCGCTACCCCTGTCTCGTTCTTCACTACCTCCGCCACCATCGGTCTCTATGCGGAAACCTTAACTCTACGACCATACAGGAAGCCCTAAAAGCTTTTTGACGCACCTCAATGCTTAGCCAGCTTGGTTTCACGTCGTCTGATAATCCGTCGAAAGGTCTTGCTTTCCTCTCCGCGAATCCGAGAAAACTGCACTCGAGTGTCTCGGGCTCCGTCTTCCATCTCTTTCGTACTCATCAACGCCTGCTGCTCACCCGGCTCATTGCTTTCGTCCCCCTCGAACCGGTCGGTGTAGTATATCAACGGGAGCACGCTGCTCTTCCAAACGCTCTCACCGCTCCTCAGCTCCCAACTTCTCGCAATGACCAACCCTAGGAGTATTGCCTCCAGAGCCAGCAATAGCGTGGGAAAAATGAGTCAGTCCGTATCGATCACAAAGAATGCAACATAATAAAGGGCCTGCTCACCGACTATTGACTGAGATCCGGCAGGATCACCTATTCCCAGTCGGAACGGGTTTGTCAGGGCGGTAGAAAGCTCCGCGAATGCTCCAAATGTCCGAAAGCCAGAGCTGGTCTTCGCACCAAAGGCATGTGGCGTTGTACGTATCATCTAAGAATGGTCCAAGTCTGGTCGCGAGACCGTTGAGATGCCGTAGATGCATTTCTGGGGAGCCCATGACGAGGGAAAATCGCGGCCCTCCGCAATAGCTTCCGCGGTGAAGTTTCTATCATGTTCAAGGCAGGGCGAAAGAGTAGCTACATGGCTCCCCTCTGATGTGCCGTTGAAGCCATCAGACTTGTACATGGGAACCTGAGACAGAAGTTCCTCCCTCAACTCCGTCCCCTGAACCATGCTCGAGTAGCTCTGCAAACACGCGTAGAACGAGCATGACAAAGCCAATGAGCCGGTAGTAGTCTGTAAACTTATTATGCCCATCACTGCTCGCTTTCTCTACAACGAGGACTGTCGTATTAAACAGCGCCAGGCCGGCGAGGGAGCGCGCATTTTCCGACATGATGCCGTCAGCCCACGAAAGGTCACCCGGTCGGAAGATCATTTCCGTCGAATGCCCCTGAGACAGGGAAGGTTTCATTCCGTTAGGCTACGACAGACTTTTAGTCGCCTCATCGAATGTTGCTGCAACCAAAGAGCTGACATCGGTGCACTCCGCACATATCCCAGCAGAGGCATGTGTGATCTCCCCGATTGAAGCAATTGACACGCCCGAATCCAGCCCAGTAAAACTGCAATTGCGCGTGGGACAATTTGACACAATTTTGATACCACTGGGGTTCAACACAGCAGCTTGCAAGGCGTTAACGGTGCTCGCCTTCAGCACAACAGAAGAGTCTCCAAGGAAGTAAGGCGCCGCGCTGATGTTCCGTGCTATGGGAATACTAGCAGGCTTCCCGGCCTCCGGCACGGTACGTTCAACGGTTTTGATGGCCTGCTGGACAAAAGGGCTAATGGCAAAGGACGTTGCAAAGATGATGGTCGCCATGAGCGTCAATGGGCTGCGCCACCTGACAAGTTTCGCGAGCTGCAATGCCGCAAACGCGTCTCTGCTGCCGTTGGTGAAGTGCTGCAGATCCAACATGCGGCGATCTGGGTCTGATGACCTGACAGACCAGAACCACGTCCAGCGCGTTTGGCAGATGATCTCTGCGGTGACGGTGGCGACGGACGCTCGCAAGAATGTCAAGAGAATGTTGGCGATGGAGTTGAGGGTGCTGTTGATGTTCCAGTCTCGTTGAAGCTTGTTATCCTGCGAAAGGAGGACCGCGTAGATAGCGGCGAGGAGAAGGATTGAGACTAAGAGACGGTAGATGTCGGAAAGCCAGGGTGAGAGAACTGATTGTCGGGCTCCCCTGTGAACGCCGGTGATACCCGTATGAGAACTGCCGTTATAAGGTAGTTCCGATGCTTCCGGGGCGCAGTACTCTGCCGAGCTCTCATTGACGCTGCCCAAGTATCGCGAATCGTAACCTTTGGAGTCGACAGGGGTTTCGTTCTCTGGTGGGTGCTTCTCGCTGAGGCTAGATGGCAAGTCCTCAGAGAGCGTTTCTTCAACAACATGGTCGCCAAACCGGGGTTCTATGACGCTCGGTTGGATAGCACTTGGTGTGCTGTACTCGCCAGACTTTTTGAAATTCTTGGTGAGCATTTTGAAACGAGTACCTCCTACGATACGGTTGACTCAAAAGGCATCTTTCGTTCCATTTGGAAACTCTTCCTCTGATTTATATAGCGTCATCGAAAAGCTGCCCATCAAGGCGAAAGAGAAAAGGCAACTGATGCCAGGCAGAAGTGGTCTGCTCATCGGCCCCCATACACCGGTACAGCGAGCTTCGCCGCTCAGCCTGCCTCGGAATAACCACTCTCGACAGGGCATTGTACCCAGTGGACCTGGCGGGTATGGAGTCATGGAACTGAAGTACAGGGGCAGCTGCAGATAAGATCAAATCTGATAAGATGCGATTATTTGAGGCTGTGCTTCTGGTATCGTTGGATGTCCGTCCAATTCCCGTGAGCAAGGCGACAATTCCAACGAATCATTCTGTCGATACACCCACACACTCTTCGGCACTTCCTCAGTTGTGTAAGTCCCTTGATCACTTGGGGGGTCTCTGCATCGGCATTTGCACTTCTTTGAAGAATGAGGAGTCGCGTCTTTCAACCCTTAGCATAACGTCAGATACTAGAAAAATCAGCAAATGCCATCACCTCACTTTAAAATTTGCAGTTGCACTTTGCCGGGACTGATGGAATGGACATACTTGATCGAATGAATCAGCACGTTCCTAGACATAAGTCGAGGTTACAGCGACGACGATCTCAACGAGCTGTGGTACAAGAGACATTCGGACGGAAATACCGGCATTACAGCAAAAAGAAAGGGTGTTACAAACGTCTTCTTCCGGGTAGGTTATAAAATGCAGAAATGAGGGCACTGCATGGTGCCTTTCGCTTTTCCTAAGGTACCTTATCAGTTTCATTGATAATGTTGCAATCAGGGGCTGATTTATATTTTCCATGCTATTCAGGAATCAATGATTTCTTGTTCATTAGGTACTTGCGCCAAGGATTTTCCGCCTCTCGTTGTCATACACAGCTGCTGTCCTGGGCCGTTCGTTCCATCGTCATAGGTTGTCCTCAGCAGAACCCTGATGTTACCATCGAGCCGTGCTACCATATCTTCTCATCTATGTCTTTCTAATCGCCCTGAGATTCTTAGTTTGCCACTGCCTCCATACCCACCGACATTTTTTCCATTCCCAGCCGTAGTTCCTTCCCCTCCTCCAAAACCATGGCCACCGTAGTAGCCTGCACCGCGAACATCCTCCCTGTTTTCGCCATGCTGGGTATTGGGGTCATAGTACGCTGTGCTCTGGCCGTCGCTCGAGGGATAGTAATAGCCGGGCCTCGGTAGAGAGCCCCAATATGGTGTCGCTGAGGGGGGCGACCTGGCGCCAGATCTCTTGGAGAAACGCTTCTTGAAGCGCAATGGCAGGCACATGTTGACTATGAAGATGCAGTAATGGATTCTTTCCAGGGTTGCTGAAGAGTTATGAGTCGGTATCGTACATACTGTCCGCAATGCTTTAGGTAAACAGATGCTTTGATAGAGCGGCGGAGGGTAATGTTTGGGGTACAGTTGGCCGATGTGGGGGACGACGACGATGAGTGCCTTTTTTGATCTTGGTGAAGAAAAACTCAAACACCATGATGGGAAACATCAGACGAAGGAGTGAGTAATGCCACAAAAACACACCCCCTCTCCACCCTCCGGGTATGCCATCTACATGCTTCCCTACTGTGAATCTGGAGCGGCGATCGTCCCGCGAATATTCCAAATGAAAACACGAGACTTATTTCCCATCCTAGTCTCGCCTAACTCTATAATCTCACCAAACCTCGGCATATCCGAGCGATTCTAGCAATGCCTGGAGTTTGTATGGCTGTAGCCGAAAGAGCGAAGGCGCGCTGACCCCACAGTCTTGTCCCGGTTTGAACGATGTCTGGAGCAACCGCTGTGCTTCGCACTGTCAGCCGTCTCCAAGACGACTATGATTGAGTATCGTACCCCAGTGTTTGTTTCTGGAACGATGCTTCTCGACAGAATTTGTTGAAATTCGTTTCTCGGAGCAAAATGACAGACACGTGCTATTAAGAAGAAGAAAAAGAGACCATTGCATGTCTGCTTACTTTTGTCGCCATTATCCAGCACATGAGCATCAGTTTCGCGTCTCACATCTCAGTAACTCCAAGCATTCATCAACCACCGCCTCCATCCCCACCACCATCCCCTCCGTCACCACCGCCATCTCCTCCAGCCCTCGTTGATCCTCCAAACCCGTGACCTTGATAGTAACCCTTGTCTCCGGGATAGTCACACCAATCCCACATTCTTTGACTTGAACGTCCATGGCTGCCAATACGAGCGTCGAAGTCAGAGCACGCTGTCTTCTGCCCGCTGCTGGAAGAATAATAGTAGCCGGCTATGGGTAGGTTGCCCCAGTGAGGCGTTTCGGAAGGACGAGGCTTGCTGCGAGAGTTCTTGGGGTTGCGCTTCTTAGAGCGCAAAGAAAGACACATTCTGCCCAGGGCAAGAGAAGGATAGATACTGGCTTACTGAAATTTTTTGATTGTTGAACACTATGCTTGAATGATTTGGCTGTTCTTCTAAGACAGCATGTGTTTATATCTTTGCGAAAAGGGTTTATTGACTGGAATTTGACGTCATGGGTGGCAAGAAATTCCAGTCAGCCTGCCGGAGGATCTGAAATGGACAGAATTTGAGACATTGAACCAAGCCCTGCGACGTATCCTGTCGGTCTTCTCATCAGAAACCTCCTGCAGGTGGCCCATGGTGCTCCTCTTTGAACTCAGACCGCGTCCTAGATCCCCACGGGTCCACCATAAGCACTCGGGGCCGGGCGACCTTTCCGTTCCATGGAATTGCAGAATTGTGTCTGTTGAGCCCCGCCTCCAAGATGACTATGGCCTGGCATCGAGCCCCAGTACTGAGCCTTTGTAGGCCGAGTCTCAGAGTTGGGCTTCTCGGAGGAATCTTCGATACGGTGCTTTTTCGAGCGCAACGGGAGACACATAATGACGTTGGAGATATTGATGCGAAGATAACTTTTAACTCTGATGCTGAAAGAACTGAATTCAAACACGGACATTCCGAGTCGCGACCTCGGTTTAATACGTTGATGCACACCAATGACACGGTGACACCATCGTGAGTGCCACTGAGAGATATGTGATGACGTGTAAACACGTCAATGTTCTCAGTGTTGGACAAGTCAAGTAATCAGTCATTACAAGCATAACACAGCAAACACTTTGTGAAAAGCAGTACCCCCTTGGTCGTGTTCTTGCCACGCACGTAAGCCCAGAGTTTTGCCTCGTGGCTGAGACACATCGATGGCAGCCACAGATATTGGCAGATCTGCAATGAGAAAGCCTCGGGACGTCTTCAGCACCTAGGATGTCCGAAAATAGTATTATGAAGTAGAATTTCATGCGGTTAGCTACCAAGAGCAAATGTCACACACGTGTGTTCAGGAGTCGCAGGTATATCCAAGGATAATCAGCAGAACTACAACATGTGAACGTCAATGTGCGAGAACATAGAATACAGCAGTAAAACGAAAGCCAGGCCGAGGGGGCAAGTAAACTTTTAGTAATGACAGCTGGACTATCAGCGTCAGGCTCTCAACTTTCTTAACATCATTCGCCTAGTTATTTCGCTTTCCAATTCCACAACGAGTAGCATAACGATATTCAACACATTAGTGAAACGTAAGCAGCCCTCACACTTTCTCTCTACAGTGGTAGTCTGTTCTAGTTACTTTGATTTCAACAGTGTTATAACCCAGCACAGCTCGTCATCCCATCACACCGTTCCATATAACCTCAAACAGCCAAAAAACAACACAACGGCCATGCAACATCAATGCAGGGTCTGTACAGGCAAAAAGATGGACGAACAGGGAATCGAACCCTGGACCACTCACATGCTAAGCGAGTATTATACCACTAAACCATTCGCCCAAAGGATGATTTCGCCCGGACTTGAACCGGAGACCTTCAGTGTGTTAGACTGACGTGATAACCAACTACACCACGAAACCATTGATTGTTGAAGAAAGCGGCGGAGGAGTGGCTTGTGAAGCGGCGGTGCGGGTGGTGGGTGCAAGACCGGTTGTGTGTGCTGGAGAAATTTGCGTGTGGAGATTGGGGTTGCGTTTGATTGCAGAGTCGCTAGTTGCGGTTGAGCCAATTGGCGAGTCGCGGAAGAGTCAAAAAACACCTCGGATCCTTGCCAGACTTGTCGGGGATTTCTGCAAATTTTCTTGCTGGGGCCTGCAGAGCTTCCGCAAGTCTTCCGCTAGAGCCCCGCGCCGGACCCGCACATTTCCCGCAAAACTGTCCGTGTCCGAACCGCATACCGGGAGATGTTTTCACTCAAGTCCGGCCGTCGGTGCAACTTGTGGTCTTTTGTTCCGACTTCATTGTGCGGAAGTCAGCCATCCGAGTTTTGAGCCGGTTTGCATCGGCACTCGAAGCTATCCTCTTTCACCCGCGTCAATTCTTACTTAGCCAATCGGCCCGTTATGGACACCTCGACAACGTCACACATAACCACGAACATGTCTTTCCAAACTGAATATCGAGTTCTATTATCTAAGGCTTCTTTTCGACTGTGTTCAATAGCCAGAAGTCTCTCCGTTGTAAAGCACCATTTTGCCTCCATGCGTCTCCTTTGTGGTCTTCGCTAGAACCTCCATCATGCCGTCGCAGGACTCGTCGACTCCGATAGAGGCCTCCTTCAGCCCAAAGTAACGCGCACCAGCGTTGCCCAAATCAGTCTGCACCCAGCCAGGAGCAAGGACGAAGGCGTTCAGCCAGTCCTCCTCGGCGTTGATTCTAATCCCGAACCAATTTGCCGCAGCCTTCGACGGCCCGTAAGCACCATTGGTGATGGGCGGCTGATTTCTGTCGTCTGCATTAGTTTCCAAGCCCAAAATTCCAAGAAATGCTGTAAAACTCACTCCAAACAGCCGGCAGTGGATCCCATGAGCGTAAAGATTGGTTCTCTTGGTGACTTCTTGAGCAGCGGGCGTGTCGCCTGGAAAAGTGACACAACACCGTATACGTTGGGTTCCATGTGGGCCTGTAAATCCGAGATTTTGAGGTCTGCGACACTCGGCCAGACAGAAGAGATACCGGCGTTTGCAATGACAATGTCGAGGTGGTCAATGCCATGATCTCTCTGTAGCTCTGCCACAGCGTCATGGGCGTCTTTCTCCACGGTCGCATCAATCTTGACAACAACAAGCCGACTTCCTTCGCCCTTCTTGTAACTTTCAAGCGTTTTTGAACCCGAAAGAGTGCGATTCGCCGCAACGACAGTGTGGTTTGGTAAGGCAAGATAACGTTGGAGGAGACCTAAACCCAGCCCACGGTTTGCACCCGTGATGAGAACGATTGTCGGTGCCATGGTATGCAAAGTCGATGAGTTGTCTGCTGAGAGGATTGGGCTGGGTGTCTTTCGTGCAGAACTTCGTATCCTTTTATCTAGAAGCATTTGCGGGGTCGCGCTTTATGTTGCTCCGGCTAAGCCCTGCCTGGTTTCGTCGATCCGGGTCATATTTGTCCATGTGGCTTGAGAAAAGCCGCCATCACACATGAATGGGTCAAAAAGTAACGGAGGCCGGGCTGAATTCTATCCGCGACTCAACCGAAGGATTGTACGGCTGTCGGTTTCATGACTAGTCCAGTTTCGATTGGGAATCGTGCTTACGGCGGGTTTGGGTAAGCGAGCCAACGTTTTCATCAGCCTCAACGTTATGCAGCTTAACAAAGATTGTGTCAGCGTCTTTCACCCCTCGCTTCAATAACGTTGTCCCCATAGGCTGAAAGCCGCTGGGCTAGATGCATCAGGCAGAAGATGAGCCTGCATGACGAACCTAAGGTAGCCATAAAATATGCTGCAAGCTCAGTCTGATTCTCTATGCGTATGTAGACTGCCGAGCAACAACGAAAAATAAGCCAACTCCATTATGGTATCTCCGAGTCGCTAAAAATGCTCACACATGGGATGTTGCTACTCCTCGACGAAACCCGTCTTGGTCTTTCCCAAGTTCCAAATGTCATCGCATATCCAATCGCCGTTTTCCAATGTCCAAAGAAACTCTGGTATCTTATCAAACCTCGACTCGTATCGACTTGAGACGCCCACTGAATACCAGAAATCGTGCCATCGCATCGACATGGGCCTTTGGGTCTCATACTTGGATTGTGGCGGCATCGACTTGACCCCGTCCTCATCAAAACAATCCGCCACCTTGAACCAGTATGCCTCATCTTTGAGTTGGTGGACGGCGATGGGATCGTCCTCCACAAGCGCGTGGTTGATTGAATTCGGGTGCGTGTGTTTCCTTGCCCACGCTGAGCCGTCCTGTCGCGCATCGCGGTCGTCGTAGTCAAATTTCTCCGAGCCTTTGAAGTTGATGAAACTGGCCCGCTCACGTCCCTTCAGCATGAGTGTCCCAACAGCCATGTCCTCTCCAGTGACCACCTTGAACCTCTCCTGAAGTGACGAAAGCAGCTCAACCATATCCCACGTCACCGTGTACATGGCTCCGTGAGGAAAAGTGAGATCCCAATACTTTGAATAGTACAGCTCTCCGATGACGGTCCGATTGAGGGTACTCTCAAAACGTCCACTGTCATTATTCATCGACAACCTGGGTTGAAGGAACCGGTCCCAGAATCCCCTGGCATTTAGCCACAAGTCTGTGTCCATCTTCGAGACGAACTCGTATTTTGGGCTTTTGTTGACAAGCCACTTGTAGAATTCGAGAGTCTTTATCGTATTCGCAGTGACATCGTCTTCTTGAATATGATCAAGGACAATCATGTCGCCGAACGTATTATTCTCGCGCGAGACAACTTCCATCCACCGCGGCCCGGGATTCGAGACCACAAACCGACCATCAAACGGAACGTCCTCATAGAGCCTCATCCAAGTTGACCTGATGAGCATTCGGCGCTCAACATCCGATGCCGTTGATATGACTGCCGCAAGCCATGATACGTGTTCCTTACTGCTGTTGGCATTGTCGTCCGCTACCATTGGCGAATATGGGAATGGTTGCAAATCGTCTGCAGGTTCTGGTAGACCGTCCAAGACATCGCCGTGGACAACGAGCTTCGTTTCCGGTGCCTCAAACGGCGCATGGTGTTGAGGAAGGGTTTCGCGAGTAAGGTGTATCGTTACGCCAAGAAAGAGTATGGTACAAACGGCACAGATACGGAAGAGTCTCTTCTGAATACATCGCACAAACGAAGTCCGTACCGCGAACGGAATCGATGATGATCCCACCTTGGAGGACATGTTGTCGCTCTGATGCAACGCTGGGAGAGCCAGACAGAAAGCCGCTACTCAAGGAATACGAGGGCTGTCAAGTCTCTAAGAATGAGCGAGGAGGAAGGTTAAAAAGATGAGACGAGATGGAGAAGACCCCCAAACCCCAGTGATACACCCAAGAAAGGAACGCATCAGCACCGCCATTTCTAGAAGGAAATGAACCCCACGGCTGCCTGCATGCTTGCGAAACATGACGCGGTGAACCTCTCGACCAACGAAAATTTGTTTCCATGGACCTTCCCGTCTTTTCGCAGACGAACCAGTCTTCGTCGCGGCCGCCGTTTGTAGGAGCGGGCTGTAGCTACCCAAGCCCTGCGACCGATCGGCACGTACTCTTCCTCCCCAGGTTTTGGGCTGAAGCACTGGTCGACAGTGCATCCATGTCGAATCGGGACGTGATGTAAACGCAATCATGCTCCCCGAACAACTAACCCGTCGGGCAAAGGCTGCCTAGCCACCCACCCACAGCCCAGACCCCTTGAAGGCAGCCAGCCAATCACGCACGTTACCCGACTGCAATGGTTTTAGGGTTCAAAAGATGAAGAACAGCAAGCAAAAGTATAAGCCGGCTAATTACATGAATGGTGGCTGGCGAACTGCTGAAGACATCGTTGCATGTCTGTGGTGCCATGTGTCGTCTGGCCATCAGCTGCTCAGTGCTCGACAGTGCCCGAACAATGAAAGTGCAGAATTGTGCCTTGAAGGATTGATCGACACTTTTAGTCAATAGTTTGTGACCTCTACCACGGAAGGCTGGTATTTTTGGTATAGAAGCATGTCAGATAAGGCTACGATGAGGGTCGCTCCGGCTCGGGCCCATGCTGATCAACGGCAGCGTATGTTCATATTGATGTGTAGGTAGTTGATTTACAGTTCGCTGATACATCAGAATGGCTCATGATGTCGGCATTATCAAATATACTGCTAAATGCTCCGAAGAGATGTTCGGGCTAAATTAGGAACTTTTGTATCCTAGTCTTCCAATCCCAGGTGGCCTCAAAAAGCTCTTTGCCCGACTTGTGTGATAAAAAGGCAAAAGGACCTTTGCCAAGAGCCGAGCCCCATTAAGCATCACACCTTTCCAGCGTGTGCCCCTTTCTGCATAGCATGTTATGATAATGATGACACACGAAATGCGGGAAGCAATCAAATGATCAGTTCCCCAATGCGGTCGGCGGTTGGCCCTGAAGCTAGGCTTACTTCCAGTGATTACCACTCATGAAAAAGCTCTTGTGCGACACAGTAAGGCACTTACATACAGAATGTCGATCACTGGGGCTGCGTCGGGCTTACCCGTTCAACTGCCGCAGTGGTGGCAGTGAAGACTGTCAAGATGCAACTCATCCAGGGTAATGTATCTCGGAGGATCGCTATCCATGATAACTTGACAGTGAGTGGATATCAACAAAACAAAGGCAGAGTGGAACATGCCGGTTTTAAGTATCACGTCCTTCGGAATTCTACTGCTTAGGCCTTGACTGCCCTAATTGAAGTTCTGTCCCCTCCGTCTTCGGGCCCTTCTCTATTTGATATTTTTCGCAACGGACTTGAAGGGTATTCATCTGCGTATTTCTTAGCATTCTCAATCAATTTGGTTGTGTTGTACCAAAAGCCTGAGGTTTCGCCATGTAGGTAATCGGCGAAGATTGCAGCCAGCTTTGGCGACTCCGCTAACCATTGTACGGGTGGGATACAGGGATGTTCTGGGCATGAATCCTAAGACAACACACAACCAACAACTCGAAGGTCCGTTTAGCTATACTCATAGGTAGGAAGATGTGGCAGGTGAGAATGACAACTTGATTGCATTATTGAAAAAACCGCAATTCGAGAGCCTCACTTTCGTGGCTGAAATAAAGTTGGGTGGTGATCGGGCCCAGTTCAGGAAGCACCGGCGGGTGTTGTTGCCGGCGACAGGGGGTCCGGGCGGGGAAAGACAGAGCACGCCAGACGGCACCAGCATGACATCACCACCACGCATCCGAACCTCCCTTTGAAACCGTTGGAGAACCGCGTCGGTTCTTCAACGCAAGCCATTGCGATTGATTCTGCAACAAATTGCGCAAGCTTGCAGGCCGCGTATCTATCTACACCAAGGCTCGGGATATCTCCACCATTGGCGATACCACTGCTCCACCACTGTGTCTTGCAACAGACAGCGTCGAAACAGCATCACAATGGCGGGCCGAATTGCAGGCAAGCTCCTGGCAGCATCCGCCCTGTGCGGTGCCGTTCTCGCCGCTCCGGTGCAGGACCAGCAAGTCGTTCTTGGAGGTGTTGCGGACTTGACTCGTGTTCGTGACGAGTACGTCACCCTTCAATGCTGCTGATGGATGGTCGCAACTAATGCAGCTCACAGGCTCTCCAAGGCTCAGATTATCCCAACAGTCATCGATGACTTTGAGCCCATCCTGGGTCTCTCGGCCGAGTGGGACTCGTCAAACGCTGCAGACCTTGGCAACACGTTGAAGCCTGCCGATCTCCAGTCGGCGCCGTCGGTGTCTCTCGTCAAGGGCTCGGGCTTTCCCGGCATCCGGATCACCACCACATACGTCCTCACCCTGACAGACCCGGATGCTCCCTCACGCGACAACCCCAAATGGTCTGAGTTTTGCCACTGGATTGCTACCGGCGTGTCGAGTTCATCTGCCGGTGCCAAGCCGGCCGTTGAGGACGTCGTCGAATACAAGCCTCCCGGTCCTCCGGCCAAGACTGGCAAGCACCGTTACGTCTTCCTTGTCTGGGTACCGGCCAATGGCACGACTGAGAGGTTAAACCTGTCCAAGCCGGAGGAGCGCAAGCACTGGGGTGGAGAAGAGGGTCGTGGCGTGAGAAACTGGGCCAAGGAGAACGGTCTTATTCCTGTCGGTGAGTTCGAGACTGCAGTCACAGAGCTGATGTTGGCACATGCACTGACAAGTCGGCAGCTGCAAACTTCATCTATGCCCAGAACGAAAAGCAGTAGTTGTCGACCATTCATATTTAAAAAGGGGCTCGAAGACATGAAAAGCTGTCAGATCTTTGGGTGGCCGAGCGACCGTTCTGTTTTCTACACAGGACGACTTGGTTTAGCATAACTTATTCAGAATACTTCATCAACGAGGAACACACTCACTAAAAGTTTCACGCCGACGTGTCTAGTCCACCTGAGCCATTGTCCCATGAAAGCGGAACTTCCTTCCCCAATTAGAGCACCGATTAGCCTGCTATTCCAAGGTCTACTGACGACATCTTCTCCCCGTTATCGGCGTTCCAGCCTCATGAACGCAATGAATCCATGTCGCCAGCTCGCACTCCCTAGGCCCTCTCACGAAATCTCAAGTCACGAGGGTGAACAAGTACATAGGCTATCTTCTAGGACATTGCAAACCTGCCAGTCTCCCGCGCATTCAGAGAACCAGTTCAGCAGGGTGGCCATGAGGGTAGCTAGAAGATCCAAAGAGATGGCGTAATGGAAGAAAAGACTCCATGACAGATAGCCTAAGCTTCGAGAACCTCTGTAAATTAGTGGTACAGAGATTTCTAGTAAAGATGCCTGCACTTCATTGTGCCAGGATCCAAAAGCTGCAAGTTCTCATATGTCCAAGTTGTCACAAGTCGAAAAACTCATCGCCAGGGGCTGTATGCCGGCATGACTTTGCGGGTCTGAGGACCTTCATCTACACGACATGACATATATATGAAATATGCGCAACATTTATAATGATGAGCGACTGATGGCTGATGAATGGCATGCAACAGCGAATCACGATCCCAACGCAGAACACGGAAAACAATCCCCACAGCTCCGTATCGGCCCCAATAAGCCTCCGTGGCCGCAGGTTGACGGTAATCTTGGTCAAGCGTGCGCCCTGCCGCCAGACCAAAGTCCTGCATTGGATGATAGACTCTTGGCATCAAGACGCAGACGCCGGAACTGAACGGAATGAAGCCGAGGGAAACGACTATGGGCAAATTACTTGAAATTAACCAACAGAGGGATTTCGAAGGTGTATGCTTTACTTTGCTTTGATGTTGGGGACCTTTGAGGGTGGCACCCTGTTGAGTTGTGGATGGTCACTACCTTTGAGTTTGGCAGTCTGGCGGATGCTCCCCTTTCGCAGGAAGGGGCGCTTTTTGTTCCCCTGAATGGCAAAACTCTGCCAAGTCTTCGGAGATAACTCTTAGTAAAGCACAGGCAACAACATACGAAGTTGAAGCTCGAAGGGAGAAAACGATTTTCAATATCGTTAGCAAGCGGACTCAAGTAGGCGGAAAATAGAAGCTTTCGCCTAGCTGTAACTACCAATTAAATAAGAATCTTCGTACGCCAAAACAAATGAAACACCTCTTATAATGGAGGCCGCATAATTTTCCCTGAAGGACTTTTCTGAGGACGACGACGACAGACGACGACGACGACAGAAGACGACGACAGAAGACGACGACAGAAGACGACGACAGAAGACGACGACAGTAGTAGCGATGATAGTGAGCACATAGGAAAAGTAGTCGCTTTAGCACGGGGGAAACAAATGTCTAATACAATAAGAATGTTTTTCGGCTAACGAAAAGTCTTCACACCGCGGCGGAAAGAAATATCTCTACACTTTTCCATTCTTCCTACATGGTTTCCGTCTATCCAATCTCTTGAGTGACACTCCTCGGGAATCTGGGGAATTATTCGGGTCTCTGGTGCTCCTTACTGCGCTGGAGTAACTAGTTGACGACCACCCAGCCACCGCACTTCCTGCCGTTCTGAGAGCTGCCATGAGAGGCACCGACAACAGGCATGTTGTTTTCGCCGTCTGTTGCCTTTGCAGTGTAGGAAGAGAAGAACGACTCTTCCGGCTCCGCCCTGGCGTCCTCGGTAAAGGTGTGTCTGCCCCCGTCTGCCAGCTTCTGTGCCTTCTTTGGGCCCTCCATGGGCTCCGAAGCTTTCCGTTTGGCCTGCTTAGGCACCACCGCGTCCGCGACGGGCAGCTTCGGTGACTTCTTTGGGTGCGTCCCGTCTCCGCCAGATCGATGACGGTTCGATTTGGCGCCTTCGCGACAGCATTTCTCTTTGACCCATGTACATGCTGCGCAAGATGCTCCAGTATCGTCTACCATGCAGGGCTTATTGATTGTAGTGCACCTGCTGCACTTTATCTTGGCTGGCCTGCCTTCGTTGTGTCTCTTTTCGGCCCGGCTGTGCTCGGTCCAAGTTGCCTTGGTCTGTTGTTTACCCTGACCCATGGATGAATCCATACACTTGGTGCAGAGGCACTGCATCTTGTTAGGGGCTTGCTTCAACGCCGGCTCCGTGCCCTCCTGAGACGGGGCCCATGGTGTATTTTGTGAGACCGCAGCATAGTCCGGCGCCGCCTCTCTCTCGGGTCCTGTCACCCGCTCTGGCTGGAACGCCGTCTGCGAGGGCGCAGAACACTTCGTCGCCGTCTTTGACATTGTGGCGGGTCTAGGTGATTGTGGCCGACGCTCCGATGGGGCGACCGGCAGTGGTGTCCGTCCCTTCGCGTTCTTCGGCGCATTATTCTTCAACTCTTTCAGCGCATTCTCCTCCATGCTGAGAAGGATCTCGGCGGCACTGGCCTTCTCTTGTTGCTCTGCAAGTTCTATAGCAGCAGCAGCAAGCATCATGAGACTAGGAATATCTTCAGTAGATGTTGATGCGCTAGGCTGGATATCAACAGATGAAGTAGACATGTTGATAATAAATGGCAGAGGATATGGATAGATAGTAGTTGAAGTGGTAGTTGAAGTAGTAGTGGGGCTAGTAGTTGAAGTGGTGATCATGGTAGTACTCGGAGTAGTAGTTGGAGTGGTAGTGGAAGTCGTAGTGGAAGTCGTAGTGGAAGTAGAAGTGGTAGTGAGTTTAGTAGATGGGAAGAATGAAAACAGCATTACTGCCTCTTTCCGGGCGTCTTATAGATTTGAAAAGAGATACCCGGAGAGGCCAAACCTTTCGGAGAAAGGACGTTGCTGGTACCATTATACATAATATTCAAGTTCTCTGAGGCTTCCGGGGGCTCATCGAGACGTTGTCTCTGAAACCCGACGCTCTTGCTACCTCTACGTCAACTATTTCACCGCCTGATCACATCAAAAGGTAGTCTCTCTTCGGTTGATCCCCGTTATGGCACTCACAATCAGATCAGAAGGATAATATACTTTGTTTTGAGCTTGTCCAGATGCCGAAAGGGTGCGAGGAGTGTTCCTGCGCTGCCCGGACAGTGGGCGCTGGTATCTTTGTAACCTACATGTATGACCGGTCAGTATGTTGATTGGAGGTATCTCAGCCATGGCGGGGCTACTGTGACTCTCCATCCATAGCAGATATGAACTTTGTTCGGATTTCATGTTGCCCTTCTGGCTGACGAGGGGGGTTGATGCCTCCAGGGCCATCCGGGAACGAGACGACGGCTGGAAGAGATGTAAATGGGCGTTGTAGATGGATATCCTGAGTAGTCAGAGGCTTTGACCGGTCAATTCCAGCAGCCTCGACGTCAGATACTGTGTAGTTGCTGAGGGTAGGTAATGCATGAGTGGTCCTGTGGTTTTACCGCGTAGCGCCGTCTTCCCAGTGGCCAAGCTGAAGTCTCCGTCCACGGCGTGTTCCTCCTCTTACTGCTCTTCCTTGCGCTTCGTACAGGTCGAGAAGGAATTTTCATTCCTTCTACTTCCATCTCAATTCGATCATTCTTCCACGGAAAGGACGGTTGAAAACTTCGCAGCATGGAAGAACGTGAATGGACACACACCATCACCCACCCCCGTGTGAGTCTAGTGGGTGACGGGGACCCACGAAGAGACTTTTCCCATCTCCCCATGCCTTTTTTAATCGTAAAACTGTCCACCTGTTCGAATGTATGTCCCTTCGTCAGTCAGAGTTTTCGTGCGAGGCCATCTTCAATTGGATATGAAGTCTCAGATGAACTTTGGTTTCTCCGAAGGCCACTTGCACCCTGATCCTATGCGTCGCAATGGCCGTACCACACCACATAATGGATATATGGCAAGAGAGGTCCGTCGCATGCCTGCAGGCCTTCCATGTAGTCGTGAGCCACATATGCTGTTCGACAACCACCCGGCAAACTTTTCCAATGGGCATTGAGTCCAGCTTTGGCTAGAGGTTGGGAAATGCCGGGTTATTGGCTGAGGTTTCTCGTTGAAAGCAGCAAAATTGCCCCAAACTTATTCTTTCTCTGACCAGGAGTCGTTCCAGAGAAAACAGACTTGGTGGTGCTCGAATGTCTGGCTACCTTCTTTCGGGATTGACCTGGAGCCGGAGTTCGAGATGCTGACGTGTCCTACCTCGGCTCAGCACCAAGGACTTGGCTTGATTCCGACCGCAGATGATAGCAAGGGACGACGTTGAATGTCCCCGGCAGGTCGTAATGTAAGAGAAACCCGCCTTCTCGCCTCCACAAACACAGCCTTCCTTCCCTCACCAGAGGCGATGCTATCCAAGCATCAAAGCCTTCGACTTCAACATCCCTATCCTTAGGAAATGACCATTGCATTTCTATTCGCATGGGAGCATATCCGCTTGGATATGCGACACACTGTCTGGCAAACGAGTAGCGCTTCAACCGTCGTCCTCATCAGCAGTCTTCAAAGAAGAAAGTGAAGTAGGGGCGAGGCCGGGCAGTTCGAGCCGACAATTGCAAATGAATTGGCATGCAGCACATACCACAGACACATTTGGGTGAGTATGAAAGAAATATCATGAAGTCGATGTCCCTGGATTTCGAACCACTAACTTCAATCCAAGGCACGAAATCCAAAGGGGCGGCTTGAATCACCCGTTTCCCCGCAGCCCCTCCCGCGCCCTCCAAGCCACACTGAGATGGTGGAAACGTGTGCCAGCTACCGGCCTCACGTCTCTGGCACCCTCTCTGGCACCCTCTCTGGCACTTTCCCGCACTCTCTCAAGTACTCTAGCTGAGGTATGGCCTCTGGCTGACCTGGGTCCTCTGGCTGAGATATGGCCTCTAGGGGACATAAGGTAAGCAGAAGGCCTAGGTCAGGCAAAGGATATATCTCAACTAGAGGGCATACCTCAGACAGAGTCCTTAGGTCAGCCAGAAAATAGGTCTGCTAGAGAGCTGATGAGGGTGCTGGGCAGGGCTAGAGAGTGTGGGCGCTAGAGAGGGGCTAAGAGAGAGTGATAGAGAGACGTGAGGCTAGCAGCTAGCAGCCTCCGAGATGGTTGCGGGAGGTTGGATGTGAGAGGGTAGGTGTGGTTTGATACGTCCCAGTCCAGAAGATGATGTCCAAAACACTGGTCAGGACTACATGCTGCGAGACCATCAGCTTTCCGCCTGATCTGCGAAAGCGATTACGTTAGCTAAGGTGTATTTCATTCAGAAAAAGAAAGGGAACGATCTTCGAAGCAGCATGACCAAGGATTCGTCAATATTGGAGACATCGCCTCCGCAGTACTGCTGCTGTAGGAAAATTTCAATATATGTCCAGCTCTGAACCAGTGACTATGAACGACGTCAACATTTGAATCATCACCGACGCATTTATATTTTTCTTTTTATCTGTGGGACAGTTACGACCGTCCACGTTTTAGACTTTGGTTATCTATCTCATTAAGATTCATCGTCTTCTTCCTCTCTAAGAACTCGTACCTGAGAGCTCATCAAGTACTAGTTCTGTCTGCCATCAAACATCTGGAAATTTCAATCGATATGTAAGGCGCAAAGCAAAGGTGTTCGAGTCCAGAAGTCCCTTAGATAAGAAACGAAAAGCGTTTCTGTGCTAGCAGAGAAATTCTGAAAGAAAAGTCTTGCTCCAGTGGGCATGTGAGATTAATCTTCGAACTGCGCCACTGTGGGAGACCGCATTTGTGCCCAGATGTTTGGATGTACCATCAAGGTCTTCAAGCGACACTCGAAATCACGGGCCGAGAAATTTGTCGTAGGATGAACCGAAGAGGTCCATCTCAAGTCAACAGTTCGAACAAGGCGCACAAGAATGCAAACAATTTCTTGTCATGAATAGCTCCTGATATCGCACCTGACTGCCGTTTTCGATCCGGCGCCGAGCATCTCCACTGGGGGTTGCCGAACTCAAACGGGTATGTCCAACCGGAGGCGGCCCCGCAAGATGGCCGATCTCCCGTAGCTTATCTGTGAAGCGGGGGAGCTGCCGCGGGACAATCAGCTGGACAACCCCTCTCCATGTCGTATCACGATCAATAATAAGAACAACGTCTTTGTGAAACATTAGAAGTTGAAGGTCGGTTCTTGTACGCAACTCGCATCTTGAGCATCCATATCCATCTGAAGTTTGTCTCTCATCAACGTGCCTGACATCATCTGATCTTCACGACCCCGCAAACACAGCCAACCGAGAACGACATCCAAATTTCCATCATTAACAACACCTCATCATCACCACCAAGCCACCCAACATGGACTCACGAGCCAGCATCCCCGTCTCCCTCCCCGTGCCAAACCCAACCCCAAGCTACTGGCACAACCCTCCATCCCCTCTCTCAACCCACACCTCCGGCGCCCTCCCCTCGCACACACACAGATACCCTCATCATCGGCAGCGGCATCACCGGCGCCGCCATCGCACACTTCCTCCTCTCGTCCCCGTCACCCCCAGAAATCACAATGCTCGAAGCCCGCACCGTAACCTCCGGCGCCACAGGCCGCAACGGCGGCCACACCAAAGCGGCGTCCTACCGCTCCTTCCTCCACCACGTCTCCGTCCTCGGCCTCGACCAGGCGTGCCTCATCGCGCGCATGGAGCTCGCCAACATCCGCGCCGTGCACGCCTTTGCCGCAGACCTCAAAGACACGGAGAGCAGGCCGTGCCAGACCGTGGACGCCATCTACGACCCGGAGCAGTGGGAGGCAGCCAAGGTGGCCGTCGACGCGATGAGGAGGGCCATGCCGGATGAGGACACCTCGCGATACGAGTTCTACGACGCCAAGGAGATGAAGGGCCGCTTCCACGTCGACGTGGAGGGTTTATGCGGCGGTGTTGGCTACGAAGCCGGGAGCATCTCGGCGTACAGGTTCACCACCGGCGTGCTGGAAATGTGCGTCGCCAAGGGCATGAAGCTCTTCGCCAACACACCAGCCACGAGCCTCCAGAAACAAGACATCACGAAAGATGGGCACCGATGGACGGTGCAAACACCCAAGGGCACAATCACAGCAAAGCGAGTTATCCTCGCAACGAACGGCTACACCGCATCCCTCCACAAACCCTTCCAGGGCGCCATCGTGCCGCTGCGCGGCCAAATCACAGCTCACCGCCCCGGCTCCAACATGCCCCGCCCCGGCCTCCCGACGACATACAGCTTCATCTACGGAGGCGGCTACGAGTACATGATCCCCAGACCGTCCTCTTCCCCCTCCCCCTTCGCAGGCGACATCGTCATCGGCGGCGGCCTAGCCCGTCTGCCCGACGAGGGCCTCGAGGAGTACGGCGTCACGGACGACGCGCGGCTGAACCCGGCCGTCAGCGCATACCTGCACGACACGACGCCGCGCTACTTTGGCGCAGCCAGCTGGGGCGCAGACGACCCCGAGGGCAGGGCGCGAGCCGAGTGGACGGGTATCATGGGCTTCACCCCCGACGGGTTCCCCTTCGTTGGGCGGGTGCCGGGCGAGGACGGGCTGTGGGTGTGCGCGGCGTTCCAGGGCCATGGGATGGTGATGTGCTGGATGTGCGCGAAGGCGCTGGCCTTGATGGTCCAGGGCAACGCCGACGATGATGACGACCTCGCGAGTTGGTTTCCCGCGGCGTTCAGAATCACGCCGGAAAGGCTGGCGGAGCGGTTCCAGGGGAGACCTTCTCACACGACGAAGACAGCAATGGCGGCGGAGCAGCCCGCTATGCCCAGAGGCCATGAGTGAGACATCATATCATTCGGAAAACCACAATGACGGAACGCCCTCCCGCGCGTCCAGACCCGCCGCCGGCTGAAGCGCTCGTTGCGGCTGGAAATAGAGTTCAGTCACGTCAGCCTTGGCTGGCTAGCTTAACCATTCCCTCGGAATGACTATCGTAGGAGGCGGCGGGCGCCTCCTTTCTGGCGGTGAAAGAAAGAAAGAAAAACAAGGCGAAAGAGGGCAGAGCATGCGAGGGAGGAAAGGGAAAATGGCGCGTCAACCAATCCCTGGGCGGGCGCCTTGCGGCCGGCCGGCAGGCAAATATTGTGGGATAAGGTAGGTAGCTTCTTCTTGGCCATGCAGGTCAGCCCCAGCGGGAGAATTTGTTTGCGAGGACTTCGCATAGTAAACCAGGAAACTGCAGGAAGCTGACTTGTGTTTGACGTTTACGGTGCGGCACGGATAACCACCATGGAGTAGACGGCCAGGCGGATGCTATTTAATGCCGGTGAGCTAGCTGCTTCCTACTTCTTGGTATGCAGTGTTGCATGAGATGGCACTTTGTCAAAAAGACGGGGTGTTTTCGAATCACCTGCATGGAACATTACTTACCGTCCCGACTCCTGCAGCTGATGTACGCCACATGTACGTCTCTTATTGACTGGAAGCAACAACATCTTTCTTATCGACCCCTGTCGACATCCCCCGGGTCAAGAATGATGACAACTGCCTAATCTACCCAATACGGTGTGTCCCAACTGGACGGCACGGGTGGGAATCTTGCCAACACGTTGGTCCGGTGCGCTTCGGCTCGCTTGCAGATACAGGCCCCCTCACCCCAACGGACCACTCGGCTGAAATGACCGTAACGAATACTGGGGGAGGATGCTGTTGGACCAGCAGCAGCGAGCGGCATCTGTGTTGGAAGAGATCCAAAGGGACGGGCCCGTGGTGCAGTTGGGGCTACACATGTTGGCCACAAGCGGCCGGCAACTATCAAGCCACAGCAGTTTGGGGGGGCTGCGGGAAGTGTACCCCCTCCACCGGCCAGCCGTTCTAAAATCAAGTTGTTGGACGGATAACAAGCCATGCGCTCTCCGGCATGTTTGAGCCATTGTGGCGGGTGTCTTCACAAAAGTGCAAAGGCTAAACCTGGGATCCGCTACTTGGCACCAGCCGGCTCGGCGGCTCTGGATTCTGAGCACAGTAATCCGTATCAGACCAGACCGGTGAAGCTCGTAATTGTCATCCAAAGCAAATAGGCAGAATGTGACCTTGAAGGCAGCCATGGTCTCATTCCCTGATTGCAGAGCCAAAGAGAGTCATGCAACCCCGCCTGAAGAGGGCATTGCAGCAGGTCATCCAGGAGCGTCAGGGCGTTCGAGAAGCTGGGCAAAGTGGGATGCGATGCCGAGTTGCGGCACAAGTGCATGCGATCCACTGCCTTGGAAACGCCGGTCGGTCGGCATGCAAAAAGAACCCAAAGGAACTCGGGTCCCAAGCGGCTGAGGCACTTCTGGGCTCCGGTAGAACATGCACAAGCAATCCGACAGAGGGGATATTGACCCGCAACTGCAGGCACATCAGCAAGTCCACCAATAGCCCTTCGATTGGGAACGCGCTCATATGTCGGGATGCGGTGAGTATCAGAGGGCACGGCGGCTGTTGCGTCTGCCGCGTGATCCTCTTATGCGTCCAAGTCCAGTATCAGACATGCAGTTAAGGCTTGGAAGCGACGATCGTGTCGACCTGTGAGTCATGTTGATGCAGAACATACGTATGCTGAAGCTCAGCAAGCTTAGCATTTCCAGCAGCGCAAGTTCTGCTCATTCTTTTTGGTCGTTTGGCGGACGAAACCGAGGCAAACATGTGCTCGGCATACACACGACCGGCGCGGGGGCTAGAGGCGTCCGGCGTCCGGTTGTCCAGCTCGAGCGAGTGGTGCTTCCTAGTGCCGTTTGGCGGCGAAGATCTTTATCGCGCCAGCATCTAGTGAACTTTTGCTCGTCCGCGAGAGGAAACAGGAAGCGGAGATTTGCAGCTCGGCGCCGGGTGAGGTCTCAAAGCGGGAGTCTGAGGGGGGCCGAATGGTCCGGGTTGGCAGGAAATGCAGGTAATCCTGCTTGGCTAGTCTTGCGGGCATCATCTGAGATGCGACCATGATGGCAGAAAACGGGCGCATGCTGATTGCCGTTGCTGGTGTCTCTGGTAACATTGCTTGCTGCTCCCACACTGAGCGAGGTTTGAGACTGCTTCGTGCCACGAAACCTAGGGCCGGTTAGGTGTCAGTCGGTTGTCGCAACGTTGACCGCCCTCCGTGACTACGATCGTGATCTGCAGTCAAGTGCAAGCCGAAAAGACGACGGTTCTGGATCGTCCCATCCACATCCTTTTCGCTCGGGATCCCGGATTGCAGGCGGTGACCTGTGGGGGTTAGGGAGGGTTGACAAAGGTACCCACCCGTACCTAATCTGCTTCCCCCTCAAGGGTCGAAGATCTCCTCCTCTGAACAACAGGTCCCTGTGGTTTCTCATCTTTGAAGATTAGTTGAGTTGTCGAGGTTAGGAGGCTGAACTGAGCCTAACTCAGGTCTATTGTTTCGCCAGTCAACGGGTTTCAAAGGTAAAGTACATCAATTTCAGCGTCCGTCCATACCCCTATGTAGCATGTAGGCATGCGTCTCGGACAACGATCAGACATTGCGACAAGACATGAGTTGGCCCCATGGCGTATCGTACACCGTCAAGCTATGAGGAAGATGGAACAACAGCGTGAGCAGCGTCAGGCAGGACGATAGTCGCAGTGCACCGCTGGTGAAAGCACGGACAACAGTCGGCCGACGACGAACCTGGGCGGCACTGCGCTAGGAGTTGCAAGGGATCCATTCGATAGACGGTGGACGATGGACCCGTGGGACGGCGGTTGTACCTATCCATCGACGGTGGATAATGGATTCATGTTAATCCCACGATCGAGACGAATGGGCTGACGAGATCTACAGAGGCGTTATTTCCGGTGCTAGGAGCGCGACTACGCCCGTTCGCTCCGGGCGGCAGATGGACATCGGCTGGACCCAAGCGGGCTGCCATTGAAACTGGAACTGACTTAGAACTGCAAATGACCTTGCTGCTGCCCTCCCGCCCCCCGGAGACAGACGGGATTGGGGGCCAGTTGTGTCAGTCAAGGGCTGGCTGGCTGGCTGGCTGCTGCTGGTATCCAATGTGGGTGGTGACCTGGCAGCAGCAATTATTAACTAAAGGCCGCCATTGGATCGAGGCGCTTTCGGGGTGTAGAGACGAGACGAGACGATGCTCCCTTGGTCGGTCGATGGGTGGAGGAGTGACAGCGGGCACGAAGACGGGGTCGCAGCGACGGAGGAGAGGTGTGGTGGTCGCGGCCATGGGGTCGTGGATCCGGGACGTCGCATCCGAGCGTTGTATTTTCAACGGGTTGGAGTAATGCGATGGAATGGCAATCGCTCGCATGCATGGCAACGTGCGGGAAGTCACGACGTTGAGTGACTCGTGAAGACCTTGCCTTGCCTTTTCTCTCCGGGATCCGGTTTGCCAGGTAATTTTCCCGACAACGTTGTACGCAGGTAGAAGAGGCCATGGCATGGCATCGTGGGAGTCTGGCTTTCTCGAACCAAGCATGGACGTACTTGAACCAAGGAAACACTACTGCATAGTGAAAGGGATGGTGACAACGACCAGACGAGGGAAAAGAAGCTATGTGAGACGAAGCCGTCTCAACTGCCGGCCCAGTTGACATATGGCGTTAGAGCTGCCCACGTCTTGCTTCTTTCTTTCAACGTCTTCAAGCCGTGCCCAAGAAGCAGTCTGCATAGATAGCCTGTCTGAATCAATTTGCTGGTTGCTCCTGTTCAAAGCTTAGCCTGAGAAACCCTCTAAGGGCAACCCAAGCCGAGAAACATTAGGGCTCGTGACAGGATGTTAGGCGAGAGTTCAGGGACGAAAAAGGCTCTCGCACTTTCGCACTTTGCAGAGGATTGCACTTAGCATCGTCAAATCGCTGGGGCCCCTCACGAGGTGACATCGTCTGGGCCATTCCTAGAAAAGCTTCCTGTCGGCCCAGCGTGCCATTCCTTTGGGAACATGTACAGGGATGGCCAGGACCCTTCGCTGCCCTGATGTGTCTGCTCTTCAGTGGAAGCAGGCTGCTGTACAGGTACTCCGTGCTGCGCTCTGGAGGTTATCCGTCTCATGTTGTCTGCTGTGGGGATCCAGTGGCAGGGAAAACTTGGGAGAGCAGAGAGATAGAGAGACTTGCGTTACTCCAAAGAGTACATGTAGCGTGGGCATGTTGATGTGTATTGCAGTGTACCGACCATGTAGCTTCTGCCCCTTCACCTACATAGTAAACCTCGGCTTGTCTTGTTCGAGTATCCCCAAATCCAGCACCCTGACCGCCAAGCAGCAGAATCGAGCTCGGCCCCCATACGAGGGACGAGTTCAAATCCCGAGATGGCTGGTATCTCCACTATCATGGCAACGTTTTCTCTCGCCTCGAATAGTGCCCGTCGCGCTGTTCCGTTTTGTTTGCCTAGCTGCGGTGTGTTCCGTACACTCAGTACGGATGGCAACAACGGACATGCTTGATATGTTTAACCACGAGACGAGGACAAGGACGGTGAGGAAAGTGTCGCCTACGTCGTTAAACCTCTCGGGTCTCGCATTTTCTCCGAACGCAACCTCCCGAGAGGACTGATGACAATCAGATGTGAGGTTCCCGGTGTCGTCTGACTCGAAAATGTGTGGGAGAAAGGCGTGTTGTCGACGAGTCTGAACGACGGGTTGTCGCATGTAGCATATTGCTTACCCAGCAAAGTACGTAGACTTTTAGTCTTTTGCCCAGGACACCAGTTGAGCTTGACTGCGTTGGCGAGCTGGCAAATGGGCATTTCAGACGCCCTTCCTTTAACCTCTGGCCGTGTTCACCAAGGTTTTTTGTGATTTCTGACAAAGATTTCCTAGATGTGCGCGATTGAAGGATGGTTTGGAGAA